ATCCCATGGTTTATGTTTGTGAATAATGTTGTTTGTTTTGTGTCTTAATGTTATTTACCTTGTTACAATACATCTTTGTTTACACCAATGTGGACAATAAGGTTGAGGGAGCTATATCAACTTAAATAGAATAAAAATATATAGAGCTGGTGCCCCATGTACCAAGGCCCAAGTCCTTGCTGCAGTGACACAGGAGTCTGACCTGTGGCCCTTTGCTTTCGGTCGTCCCCTCCCCCCTTTCCTGTCACTCTTCAGCTGTCACTATCCATTAAAGGCAGCAAAGCCCCAAAAATAGTTTTAAAAATATTTGTTTGGTTTGTTTATTTGCATAGATAAACTCATACACACTAAGGTTTGCAAACACAAGAATAAGCACATTTAATGAAATCAGTGGAAAGATACAAAAAAGTGAACAGTTTGTTCCTCGATGATGATAATGTCAATATGTAAGAATAAACTGCATCATAGGTCAAGCATTATTCATCATTCATTATTATAGTCTGCTTCTGGTTGTATTTCAGTTGTCAAAAGGTTGAGTGTGTATTTGTGTGTTTTTTCACAGTTGCACGCATTTCTCAGTGCTGTGTTTGGTCATTGCAGGTGTGAAAACCCACGTGTGTTCAAGTTGGGCCTGGTCTCAGGGATCTGGTGGGCACTGGCTCTGCTTTGCTGGATCAGTGACAGGATATTCTGTGAAATGTGGTCATCTGTCAACTTTCCCTACTTACACTGTGCTTGGTAGGCTCAAAGACGACTCATTAGAGTCAGTATTGTTCATTATTATCAATTATGGACAATTTATGCACTATGGTGTCTGTAGTGCAGTCCTAAAATCTTTTAATCTTAATCTTAAAAGACAAGTGAAAAACTTGACTTGACAAATTGCAAAATAACAGAAATAAGGATCATGTTTATAGCCAAGTAGGTTTTCACATATAAGGAATTTGCCTCGATATGTTTGTGCATAACAATAAACATAGTAAGAAAAAAGGAAAATTAAAAAACAAGTACTACAAAAGTCAAAAATTTAAAAATGTACAATTAAAAAAATCTGTTTTTTAAAGAACAAAGCTGTACAGTGTTAAACATGAAAATGATTGAATGTTTAAAATATTGAACAAGTGATTTATTTCAAATTGTACAGTAAGAAGTATAAAGAATAGGTTAAATGTACAGCTATAGTCATCCATGAACAAGGTGATTTACATTGAAAAAAATTAGAAAATATTCTTACTATACTAGGAGACTGTTTTATTTTGTTTTTAGAAAATGACATTTCAAAGACATTAGAGACAAATATCAACCCTTTCTCAGGCAGTTTGTTTCATTCAGACTTATTTTGCTCTTCCAGGCACATCCTCATTTGTCTGGCTTCCTACTTGGGTTGCGTTTGCTTCGCCTACTTTGACGTCGCAACCGAGGCCCCGGAGCGAGGACCCGTCATCATGTTCTGGCCCAACGAGAAATGGGCCTTCATTGGTGTGCCCTACGTTTCCTTCCTCTGCGTCCACAAGAAGTCCACGATCAAGGTGACTTAAGGTGACCTGAGCCTGCCGCTCTGCCAGTTGTGCGCCAACACTTCTCACCGCTACGTCTGTGAGTCGCGTGGCGCCCGCTGGTGTTCCTGTGACTGGGTGATGTAGGTGATGCACATATTGGCCAACCGTGAGGATTTTTGGTTTTTCTATCCCATGTCTGGTTTTCACTAGACAGGAGTGTTTATGCAGCTCTGTCAAAGAACAAAAGGTGTCACAAATTAGTCTAACATGACACAGGGTGACACTCATAGTATCAAAGCCAAGAAACCTTTACAGTGTTCCTAACCCCTTCTCAGGCTTTGCTTAGGCGGTCATATGTGTAAGTATTAGTATTATGCATTTAAGGCTTCTGTAAGGAGAAGATTTTGTACATTTTATAGAAACTCCGAAAACCTCATTATAAAGCATTATGTTGCCTTTATAAACATGAATATAGCATCTCATAGGTGCAGTCTGGCCATTATGAAACCATGTTTAGAAACAATAAAGCACTGGATTCAGTAACTGTGATTAATGCAAGTATTAAAGCTTCGTATTATATTGCTTTGCCAATCTTACTATGGTCAATGAATCAATAAGCTGTTTCATAAGAAGTGTTATAATAAGGTATTTCACACAAAGCCTTATGTGTTTTAGATACATAAGGGATTCAGGCTGTTGTACCTGCACTTTTTGTTGACGGACATTTTAAGTTAAAACGTCAGAAACAACAATAGGCTTCTTTCTCTCATGGGTGTGCTATGTTTTCCTTCCAGCATGCCATAGTGATTGTTCAAGATAGTATACGAGAAATGTGTTTAATATATATTACTGTGTATATTTTGTTAACTAACAATGTAATATGCAGTTATTTTCCACATCATATATTACTGAATAAATAGGTACCATTTGTTTATTGGGCAAAATCCAAAGGAAAAAAAAAAACAGGATGGGAAATCAAAATGTATTGAAATATGATTGACTATTCAAGGAAAAAATCTATTATTTTGCACAAAATGAAGAATGGTTCTCAAAGCCTTTGGGTAAATACACACTGCGTAGCATTTTAAAACATGATAATGACAATTATTTACTCAGATATTTGCTTGCTAATGTACAGCTTTTAATGCTTCAGTTTTCACTGTAGATTATTTCACCCAGATGTCTCAACTCTTAAACTGCTCTTCAGGGTTATTTATTCTAGGCTTAGTATTTTTCTTTGTTTAGACTTTGTGCTAAATATTATTGAAACTATGACAACTGTGCAAAAAGCCTTAATCGAACAGGACAATGGACTACTTGTATTAGTTATGTATCTTGAACTGTTTGCTCTAAAAGGGGAAATGCAGTGTAATGATTGCATTGAATAAGAAATGCAAATGAGGTTTAGGTTCTAGCAGGAGAAGTTGTGGGACAGATAAGGTTTTATTACCTCTGACTTTGTCTAATTTATCAGTTTTCATTTGACAGAAATGAGCAGAAATTCTGTGTGCAGAATATAAAAGGGAAGCATGATGCAAAGCTAAACACTAACCCTAACAGACAAAGAGCACCAAAGCCTTTTTTCACCACAGACCTTTGTTTTAGATGCTGTTCTTGAAAACTGCCTCAAGCTGTTTAACTAACATTATTTTAGTCCTGTCCTCCTGCAGAGGCTTCTGGGAACTCAAACCGCTAAAATAGCACACATGAAGGGTCAAATGAGCTATCATGATTTACAAAGACAAAACAACTATTTTTGTGAGATTCTGAAGTGTTATTTTTTGAACAAAATTAAGTATTTTGAGAAATCCAAAACAATTTATATTTTTCTAAATGATGTGTAGCCAAATTTGAAGGTTGAATTTTTGATATTGCATGATCACTACCTTTGTATTGCCAAACATTCTTAAAAAACTGTTGTTGATGGGTTTTTTTTTTTTTTTTATGTCATCTTAGGAGAAACTTACCGGACAGTATTGACAATGTGAACAAAGCTGTTGTAGTGCCCAATAATACTTATATTGTGCTGCAAATCATATTGAACCATGCATCTGATCCATGATGGTGGACTGTTTGTATGAAGTCAGTGAGTCACCCTCAGATAAAGGAGTTTGTGTGAACAGGACAGCCTGTTTAGTGCTGCCCTCTGCATCGTGATATTTGTCTTGGCATGAGATATTATTATGAGCTTATAAAGTCTATTTTTAAGGACTTTATGGACTGTGTAAATAAATCTCCTCAGTTTTTTTCTCTGCCTGCATTGACAATACAGACAAACTGCACATAAATATTTATTTTCATAATTTATCCTGTTTTGTAAACAAATATTTGTAATAGATTAGAACATTAGTGCTTTATTTTATTTTTGTTTTATGCAATAAACCAAGCCAATACTCAAAATGATTACTGGTGTTTATTTTACAAATTACACACTATATCTTGTTGGGATGATGCATGTATTAAAAACATTTTTCACAAGGTCAATTATACATTTTGGAACTTCATGTGTCTTTCATGTATTGAGCAATGTTAGGACAGTGAGCCTTTTTGCCACCAGGGGGCAAAGTTGGCTGTCTCACCATTAAGAACCCTAGAAGTAGTTTATAGTCCTTAACAGCAGGCTAATCAGTGTCTTACAGACACTTACACAGAACCCACCCCACAGACATGAACCACACACTGTAACTAAAGGCTCCACCGTGAATAAAGCAAGATTTGAACTAGATCCTTACAGATGTGTAAATATAAACTGAAATGTGATAGGCCATCAATTCTGCTTTAATTCTGTTTTGGGATTTATTCTTCTTGTCATTAAGGATATTTTAAAACCTAGATTGCAGAAGTTAGAGGGTGTTGAAGTTATCATTTATATCCTAAAATTGGGCCTATGAACTAAAACACACACTATGTAAGAATGTAACAGAAATATACCATTAAGTAGATCGTTTAAGATAATTTAAAAAAATTTTATTTGATACTAGCAGGTTTTATATGAAGATACCACTTTTTCAAAGTCTGTTGACTGACAGACATGGACTTTGTGATTTGAAAGTTTATTATGAAATGAAATTCAGAGGGTGAAAGGTCATTGTGAGACAGAAGCTGCTGGAATAAAATTAAATGACCTTCAACAAATGTTGTTATTGTGGAAAAAAGATGGATGACATTACAATCTATACTAATGAGCTGACATTTAAAGGGTTTTCATGTTGTTTCCCTTTCTTTTTTGGTTGTATTGTTGTCATGCGATTAATTATTCAATACTGTCTCATTTATTTATTCAGCATTGAACGTTTTATGTCTGATAAGGTTCCATTTTTATTTCATTTTCTATCATAAACCAAATGTATTACTCAGTAGTGACTAAATTATACTCTAAGTCATTAAATATCATGGCATACTGTATTTCATGGTCATCTGAGGGCAGTGACGCCCTCTGCTGGAGGAAGTCCCGCCTCTTGCGACCACTGAAGACCCTCATTGGTTCCCGCACATGACGCTCAAAAAACAGCCATGTCTAGATTATGGGTCAGATAGAAGACCATCGGCTTTAATCTGGTTGACTTTTGTGATTTTATTTCACCGTTATACCTTTTGGAGATCCACACCGGGAATAAACCGCTACCTCCGCAGACAGTGAGGGAATAAACGCTCCTCTGCGGCTCTCCAGCTGCGCCTTTTGTCAGCGGAAAAATACACGATGATGTTTATAATTAGACGCTGAAAAGAACTGACGGCGCGTTTGTCGAGCCTTGGGAAAATAAAAAAAAAGGTGTTTCCTCAACCAGCGGTGTCAAACATAAGAGGACCATAGATGAGATTCCTTCCCACTGCGGGCGGCGTTTGAAACAAAGAATCCATCCAAATGATGTCAGGAAAGCATTTCAAGGCTCATGAAGTGAGCTGCTGCATCAAGTATTTCATCTTCGGATTCAACATAATATTCTGGGTAAGTCCCCCCTGTTTGCTGTTTATGACTTTGGGCCTTGTATCCGTCAGCTTAATACACTTGCATCTTTTTTGTTCTCCATCAACTATAAGCGTTTATTTCTGCATTAGATGTGTCTTTTTCTTTTTCTTTTTTTGTCCCATTGTTTTTTTTTTTTGTAGGAGACATGGATGGTTGCATCCCTGTGATAGGCTCACTGACTCCTGTGCACTTGCTCCCACTGTCACCTCTCAGCTTTTGTTTTTGTGTAGACAGCATCCGTGTGAGAGAGAGTGCGATGAAGGGCTTTCCTCACTCTGAGATGAATTCACTTTGTTTACATCGGGGTACCCTTAATCTGAGGGCATTTTAATGTCAGTGGCAGTGGTATTTGGGTAGGGGGAGAAATCATTTTCAGCCCTGGTGATCCTTGAGTGAAATCACGGTAAAAACAAACACCTCCTCTTGTGTTTTGGACCCACCAGTAACCCCACCAAGGGCTTCTGGACGTCCCACTTTGGGCCCTCCAGTTACTAATTTTAAGGCTACTTGGTTGTTTTACTGGAGAATAAGACGGGTAAGGTGTGCTTTATAAAAGAGTCATTATTGGAATAACAAATGACTTCAGTAATGTCATTCATCAATTTAAAGTATTAAACTATGCCTTATATGAAATGAGGAGTGGGTGATATAGGCCTATATCTGAGATGCAACGATTAGTTGACTACAATCGATCAGTTGTTTAAGCCATTTCTCAAAATGCCAAAGGTTTGATGGTTCCAGCCTCCCAAATGTGAGAACTAACTGCTTTTCTGGGTCTTAACTTACAGTAAATGGAAAAATGTATGGTTTGGGGAAGCTGTGATGAGCATTTTTAACCATTTTCTGATGTTCCATAGAGTAAATGCTCTCTTAATATATATAAAAAAAAGATGGATTCAGAATGTATTAATAATGAAAATTATCAGTCAACACCAACCAACAGTGTAGTTTCTTTTTATAATGATATTACAAAAAGAAAAGCCTCACGTTTGAGAAGCTGGAACCAGAAAAGGGTTTGAATTTCTCCTTTAGAACTGACTACAATGATTAATAAATGTTTAGAATTGTTGCTAGTTCATTTTCTGTAGATTGACTAATTGTTGCAGCTCTAATCAGTATGTATTGTGATATTGTGACTGTGATCATGACAGTTAGTGAGCCAACATGAACAAGACTGGGACCCTGAAACTGAAGCAGCTAGATGGAATACATCATTCCTTCATTATTTTGATAGTTTACACTCACTATTCCTACTGTGACATGTCAAAATGTCTCCTGTGAGAAAGGCCCCTTTGACTCACAAGAACCATCACAAACAGTAGAAAAAAATGTCTGACAGGTGATGGATTTATATATCTTACTCCTTTTTGAATGTGCCATAAATGAAGCCGGTATACCTATGGCCCCTCACGGACCTCAGAGTGATGAAGAGGAAGGCCACCTGTCAGGCCTATCAGTCAGTGTGACCCCTCTGATCCCTTCATCGCTCATATATCATCAGAGGAAGTTGGCTGTGTCAAAAGCATCTGTCTTCCTCTTTCTTCTGCAACTCTTTCACTAATAATCACTTGAGAAGTTAATCTGCAAAGTGCTTAGTCTAATTAGAAGAAAAAATAACTTTAATGAGGACCTGGTGTGTAAATCGCTCTAATGAAAGGTTAACAGTCCTTTAAAGAGCATCATTACATGTTAACTTAGAATAGTGTAGTCTTACCAAGTGGGTTTTTATGACATTGTGAAGTTTTACAGTGTGTAATTTATGATGTCCAAACTATATGTTACAAGGCTGACAAAATATTATGAGCACAAGGTCCACTTACTAGTTAATTCTAGAGTTTCTAACCACATCTTGCGGCCTTCATCAGCAGTTAGAGCTTGCTCAGTTGTTATGGAGAGTTGTCATGTCAATATGTTCCCACAGCCTACGGTATTGGATCAATAAACCACATCAGTGTTTCAATGATACATTTTACAATTAACCCAAGAGATACAAACCTACACATGTAGTTTTTAGAGCCAAGGCGTATTTCATCAAACTCTATGAATAAAACAAAAGCTGATCTAAGCACTTGTTAACCTGTAACCAGAAGATTTGTGTTTTAAAAAATTACCAAAATGTTTATAATTTTGACATTTTCATAGCTGTTGTATTTACAGTTAAGTCTAATGTGCTTTATATCAAAATGCAATGCTGTCGGCCAATTGCAAAATGCCATCAGTTTCTTTATTACTAACTTTATAAATCCTGAAATGTGGTGTTGAACTTTTACAGTGTACACTGTAGGTGGAAACTTGTTCAGTCATAATGCGTTCAGGCTGTTAAAAGATGCTTTCTAATGTGGGAGTCTCCTGCGGATACTGCAGACGGAGATGAGAAATACTAAGTAATGGACCACTGCCAGGAAAATCTCTCTGTGGTTTCTCTCTGTGCTTATGTGTGATGACTACATGTTGCAGTCACAGCAAAATAATCCTGCTCTCTTGTCTTCTTCTTCTTTGTTTGCTGTTTAGTTCCTTGGAGTGGCGTTCCTCGGCATCGGGTTGTGGGCATGGAGCGAAAAGGTGAATTTACTGCTTATCTCTCCATGCAACAATAAGTTGAATCAGTGTATTGTGTGAATCCTTTCACTTATGGACACCTGCAAATAATCCCTAAACTAAGCAGATAATTTACATTCATCTCCAGTCGTTGACACCAATCTGTCTGCACGAAATGTCAGCAGTGGCTTTACTGAATCAGAAAGGAATGTCATGCTTTCCGGTGGGACGCCCCTCTGAACAATGGACAGAAGAAAGGATCTAATGCATTTCACAGATTAATTCATTGTATTCTCAGTTCTGGGGATGTGAAACGGGGACAGACAGTCTAGTGACATTCTTGTTTCAAGTGTCTCGACTTTCACTGAAGAACATTTTAAGATAAATTTGCATTGTTTCATCCTGCAGCTGCAACTAATGATTGTTTTAGCTATTCATTAATCAGCTCTTATTATCGTTGATTACTTGATTCATTGTTTGGTCGATAAAATGTCAGAAGATAACAACAAATATCCTTCATAGTTTCCTAGGGTGAGGTCCTCAAATGTCCTTGGCCGACAGCCCAAAAACAGCCCACAAGACATTCAATTTGCAGTGATATAAAACAGAGAAAAGTGCAAATCCTCTCATGTGCAAAGCTGGAACCAGAGCATATGTCACATTTTTTAAATAAATAACCATAGCGATTTAAGTTTTGGGAAAAGAGTTAAATGAGAGTATTGATGCCTCTCTCACGTTAAATGTGAAGCTGGAACCAGCAGCCGGATAGCTTAGCTTAGCTTAGCACTAGAAACAGGGAAAAAGCTAGCCTGGCTTTGTCTAAAGCACCTCTAAAAGCATTTGTACACAAACCTATGTACGGGGCTCCTTCTTGGCCAGGAACAGCTGAAAATCGAATAAAGTTAGGTTTATGCTCAAATCTGTGCCTCCAACACGAGGGTGCACACGCCTAAAATGATACTGCGTCTTTCACGTCAAGTGCAAAAGCTCCGTAAGTTGTTGCGGCAATGGGTTGCCCACGTTTGAATTTTAGCAACTAAGTACCCATTGTGCACACTGAGAGAAATCTAAATTTGTTTGATGAGCAATAAGCAGAGGAATTCTTCCTCAGCAACTATGAGCTCTAGGGTAGCGTGTTTAGCCACGTTGGATATGCTTATTGACGTTTTGCTTATTCACAGAATATTTAGTTTGTAAGTCCCCTGGTGTTTATAATATTGTAACAAACAACTCTCTGTGCTCATAGTCAGCACAGCATCTGCAGAGGCCTTCACCACGGTGTCTCATGGGAGTATAAACAAGGCTTTGGACAGAGGCAGGCTAGCTGATTTTAGTCTTTCTGTTAAGCTAAGCTAGCCAGCTGCTGGCTATACATTTGTTTTTGCTGTACAGATATCAGAGTGGCATCAATCTTCTGATCTGACTTTCGGCAAGAAGGCAAATAAGCGTATTTCTCAAAATGTCAGACTGTTCCTTTAAGCTTAATCAACTAATTGTTTCAGCTCATCACATTATTAAAGTTGAAACTTTGGGAGGGTGCACACCATTAACTTGGCAAACTATTTCCTTACATAAGACTGATTGGTTTTACTTTACTCGTGAAGCTCATACAGACAGTGGAGTTCAGTCAGGCTTCATATTATTTCTCTTGTAGTGACTTTAAGCTTCTAACCCCTCACTCTGTTTTACCAGGGTGTCCTCTCTAACATCTCGTCCATCACAGACCTGGGGGGTTTTGACCCAGTCTGGCTCTTCTTGGTGGTGGGAGGTGTGATGTTTATCCTCGGATTCGCTGGTTGCATCGGAGCACTGCGAGAAAACTCCTTCTTGCTCAAATTTGTACGTTCCTTTATCAAACATATTGTAAAGAAACTTCAGTGTTCCCTGGTCTCATAATAATGAGAGAATTGTGAATGTTTATGTATTTCAGTTCTCTGTGTTCCTGGGTATCATCTTCTTCCTGGAGCTGACTGCAGGAGTCCTGGCCTTTGTCTTTAAAGACTGGATCAAGGACCAGCTCAACTTTTTCATTAACAACAACATTCGGGCCTACAGAGATGACATTGATCTGCAGAACCTAATAGACTTCACCCAGGAATATGTGAGCACAATGTTTCTTTATCCACAGTACTGATTTCACTCCAGTGTTATTTTTACCTTGGGTTCATCATGGTTGTTCATTTCTGTGGGACATTGTTGACCTATACGTGAGTTTTTTTACGTTTAACCTCATAGTGGGAGTGTTGTGGAGCTTTTGGGGCTGACGACTGGAATTTGAACATCTACTTCAACTGCACTGATTCAAACCCCAGTCGAGAGAAATGTGGAGTGCCCTTTTCCTGCTGCACCAAAGATCCAGCGGTATGTCTTCCGCAAAACTCACCATACTTGAGTCTTTTTTAATTCACAGCCAGTTCATTCCCATTTAGGGTAAAACACAAACCAGGGGATATAATTTTTTGTCTTGTTATGTCTGAGTTTTTGATGTCAATGTAGGTCACTTTCTAACATGTTTACAGCACCGGTAATTGTAGGGGAAATTGTGAAGGGCCTCCCTGTGACAGATAGCTTGGTTATCTTTGTCCTCCAGAAGGAGAGGTTGGCTGAAGTTGTCAACCATCATGGCTGACTTCCAACAGGACATCCAGGCCTCAGTGTTAAGTCTTCCCAGACTCTGCCAGCACAGCAAAGTATGAAAGTGATTGGGAGGAGTTCTCTTGACCAAGGCTTTTTTTTTTTTGGCAGAAAAATGCTCCACTTTGTGCAAAGCAGTGACAGTACTCTGGTTTAGCAAAATAGTCTTGCTTCACTGTAATGAAAGTTTCACAAGAGTCTTTTTTATTTGCTGACCCAAGGACATGCTGTTCCACCAAGGAACATTAGCATGAAAATAAAATGGTAGTTTAATAACACATGATGTTCTAAGAGTTATCACTTGTATTGCATTTGACCTGTGATATCAGACCTGTGATTGCCTAACTAAATACACACCAACACACCACTGAGACTTCAAAATGAAAACACTGGAGTTCTATGCAGAGGTGTTTTAAAATCTTGCTGACCATTACATTGACATTGCATTTAAAGAATAAGACTGGCAATCCTAACACCATAGTAAGACCAAAATCAACAATCTGTTTGTCTTTATGTCAATAGTTTCTCCAGCCAACAGTTGGACCAACAGTCCAAAACCCAAGATGCAATTTACAGTGATATGAAACAGAGAAAAAACACAAACTCCCACATGTGCAGAGCTGGAACCAGAAAATATTTTTAAAAAGTAACTTAAAAGTCCAGTGTGCAACATTTAGGAGGATCTATTCGCAGAAATCATATATAAAATGTATAGGTGTGGTTATTTTATAAAAAAAATATAGGATATCACTAGACTTATCCTTTAAAAATGTTCCTTTCACCATTGTATAAATGTTTGTCATGCAACGGCTTAGTTATTAAATATTCATCCTGTGTAGCAAGACTTGCCTGTTGTTGTTTTAAATGTTTCAGGATTTTATCAGGTCAAAACATGAGTCAAGTCTTACAGCAGTCATGTATGCATTTTTTTCCAGTCCAGGTCTCTGGTTTTCACAGATTTATACAGGTTTAGTTCACTTGGAGCACTGCTGCTGTACACATTAGAGGCCAAACACACTCCAGTAATTTCCTGGAAAGCAGTGTCTTCGTAATATACTGTTTGACATTTTCTTTAAATGTCTTGACTGCACCTTTTTAAATATGTATAAGCATGAACCATCTTCTCTTCACAGGAGGATGTTATCAACACTCAGTGTGGCTACGACATCCGAGCAAAAACGGTGAGTGGTTTACAGAAATGCACACTAATAAGAGTGATCGAGACCCTCATCTAAAAGCAAGTTCTGTAAAACAGTATGAAGAGTAGTGATTTTGCCTCAGCTAGGTTTTTTTTGGTTGCATGAGGTCATCAGGTACTCCACCCTGGGCACAATATTCCTCTTTCAGTATGTTTCCCAACTCCTCAGTCTTGAAAATACAGCAGCTGGCTCCCCATCAGCACTTTGGGCCGTGTGGTATTACTCATGCTACAGCAATGCGCTGGGAATTGCTACCCCTCCCCCATAATTGGCTTTGGCCTTACTCCATAGTAGCATAATGTAAGGAAAAGGCTGTGTTTGTTTTCTTGACTTAAAATGTGAGGAAAAAGCCAAAGAGAACTAGTTTTAAGAGTCAGAGCAGAAAAACAGTGACCCGCATGTGTGTTAACAACCGGATAACATTAGTTCAGAGGGATTTTTATTGTGAAGGGACCACAAGATGAAAAGGAGAATCATGTTTTACCATTAAAAATAACTGTGTAAAGTGCTAAGTGCAAAGTAAATCCCACTGTGACTGCCTACAGTACATTTTAAAAGCCTGAACATTTCATCTGCATTTAATTGTTTGACTATAAAACTGATTTGTCTTGTTTTTTATATGTTCTGTCAGGACTCTGAGCAGCGGACCTTCATTTACATCAAAGGGTGCGTTCCTCAGTTTGAAAAGTGGCTTCAAGACAACCTGACAGTGGTGGCTGGCATTTTTATTGGGATTGCATTACTACAGGTGAGGAACAATGTGAACAGTTTAGTTTATTATCTGATCTCTGTCAACCTTTAATTTACCTAATGTAAAATACATTTGTTTCTTGTCTTAGATTTTTGGCATCTGTTTAGCACAGAATCTCGTGAGTGACATCGAAGCTGTGAGAGAGAGTTGGTAGGTGGAAACAGTTTGTTCAGTCGAGCAGAATTAATAAATAAAATCACTTTTACTTTAGTTGCATTAGTGCAGGAGCCTTTTTGAAATGTTTTGCTGTTGGTGGAAATTTGGTGCAAACATTTGTGTCCCCTCAGGATGAATTGTAATATCTTTAGTGATCCCTTAACTTTGAATCTAGTGCCATTATCTGGTCAAAGTTTTAATTTATCCTGTAAAATATCTCAACATCTACTGGATGGATTAGAACAACATTTCTTAAAGACATTCATGGCTCCTAGAGGATTGACTTCCTCCTGACTTCATGCGTCATGTTTATGACCAAATATCTATATACCTAAAACAAATGACATTTCCGCCATCCTAAGCTGTACTTTGTGAGTATGTTCGCATTCATACCATAGCATTTAGCCTAAAGTCACAGTGCATAAATACAGTCTTAAAGGTTCTAATTCCCAGATTGTAAAAAATTCAGACACAAGCGATGTTCAGTTAATTGCAATCTGAAACCAATAGATGCCACTAAATCCTACACACTGGTCCTTTAATGATCAGAACTACAGCAACATTCATACTATTCAGATGGTTAGGAGACAGATGTGTTTCTTGTGGAGTTTATCGGGGTCCATGCACCTTGGAAGTAGGTGAAGTTGTGCCAGATACTCCCGCTATACCTGTACACTGCCTAATTATAGTAATTTAAATTATAGTAATTGTATATTTTATGTCTTGATTTTATTGCATCTGTTCTTAAATCTTCTTCTTTTTGTGCAGTTTGTTTACCTAAGACCTCCACAGAATCTCCAAAGGCAAGAAGGATGTACCAGGTTAGCACTATTAGATTTCACCATTAACGTTGCAGCATATAAATATTTATATTCATATTGATTGATTCCATTGATTCTCCCTTTTGTTTTGTGTTTGCACTGAAAGGTTTTCCTTTTCTTATTTTTTATTTTTTTTACAGGACTCTGCAGTTTGGACACCAGCAATGAAGGGAAATAAATTAATCAGCTAATGTGTCCAGAACCAAGAGTCTCATTCATATGTAAATAGTAAATTTAGAGTTATTTTTAGAGTTATTTGTGGCCTGACTTTTGAATGAAGCACAACTTCTAAAATGTATTGTAGCTTTCATACAGTACAAATTAAACAAATGCAATGCAAATTCTTTACAGTATAAGCAGCTATGATGGTACAGTCCCAGTTCAGATTACTTTAGTTTGTAAGCCTGGAAATGAGCAGCTGGGGGGGGGGGAATCATAACATAAAGGTAGATTTGATGTTTTATTAGAGGTAGTGCTTCATTCAGAAAAGGGACTCGGTTTTATATCTCTCACAGCTGCAGTTTTTAACACTGCATGTAAGGGTTGTGTACAAAGATAAAAGTGATTCTGGAAATGCACTGCATGCCTATTGTCTACTGGTAGGACATTGGCTCTCCTAAATGTATTTCATTAATGTTAAGTATTTTAAAAAAATATTTGTAAAATAGTCACTAGTTTAGAGTGAATCGGCTGGTTAGCACTTTGTTGAATGTTTAATGGAATCTACTTAAAGCTACGAAGAATTAACTTTAGATTTATTTCCATCTGTGACATCATGCTCATATTAAACAGATACATACAGTTTGTAAGCAGAGTTTTGTGGGGCTGAGGTGGATATAGTAACATGTAGTGCCGTGAAGGGATATATGATGGATGTCGTGGGCTTTGCAAAGATGCAGTTTGTTAAGAGTTTTGGAGATGACATTAATGAAAATGTCTAAATATACTGGGGGAAAAAAACAAAAAACAGGAGATGTGGCATCTAAATCAAAACTCAGCTTTAAGCACTTTAATCTTCATACTGTATACGAGTTATAAAGCTCATTGCAGTTTCTGTCATGACTGTTATTTTAGTCAAGCAGCAGCCACTGGAGGGGGCACTTTTCCTCATAAACAAACTGCATTAGTAACTATGTGATGCTCCCTAATGTCGGATAATTTTGTCCAAAAGCAGCTTGACAGAAAATGTGTTTCAGCACATTATAAGTGTTGTGCCGTTCCTTGCACATTCCTTATCTTACTGTCAGTGTTCATTCATTAATTTTCCTCTATTTCTCAAGTGTTTCTTTGATGGAATTTGCCTAATTGACAAAATACCCTTTGTTGTTTTTCTGTTTTGATCTGTAAGTTTTCACTGGAAAATTAGGATACAAGCTATTACCAAGGCTCGTTATGAATGGCATGCTGATACTGCTTGGTGGCAAAAGAATTTATAGCCTACTTACATACATTACTTGAAAGTGGAGCACACAGGCTCTCTCACCAGCATTATTTTGAATGCAAACTTGGACACTGAGATTCAGCTTACACGTTTTTCTTTCCAGACATAACCTGGAAGTGTATAATTTTGTGTGATAACCTTTAATATAACGGCATAGCATGAAAGTAAGAGCAGCCATTTAATGTAAAGGCAGTGTGACTATGCTGCAGGTTACACAGCGTTTCCTTTGCAGCCTTGATGAACTGAACATCCAAAAGATACTAAACAATGCATTTCTGCATTTTTAATATCTTGTAAATGTAATATAGCATCAAAGGGGGTCGAATATCCTTTTTTCCACTAAAAGCTTCATGATTGTTGTTGACTGATCACACTTTTTCTTACCACTCAGTGCCATATTTGTGATTTCTACTTCTACATACTCCTGATTATAAGATAACTTTTGTTTCATGTGTACTCCTGATTCTTGTAAATAGCTGGATTGTGACAAGTTGTAAATATATATCTGAATAAATGTGGTTCTTTGTAAACTTTTGTCTGTGTATGAATAATTTATATAGATGGTGGGTTAAAGCTGATTGAGTTTGGCCACAGTTATTAATACTTAAATAATAAAACATAAAATTAAATACTGTGATACACAGTTATTAGACTCCTTTATTTACAATAAACTTGTCAGCAACAGATTGCTACTGACAGTAAATGACTTGTCCTTTCCTGCTGCCTTAACATGCTTATTAATGAAGGTAACACTGTCTAGTCACATCCTTGCAGATGAATTACACTGTCACTCAACACCACCATCTAGTGTTTAAAATTAATTATCACCATCCTTTCTGTGGGCTGCTGCAAAACATAAAAAAGTTCATTGCCCCTTCACTGGCACTTTTTCATGTTTTGCATGACATTTAACCTTAATTTGCTGACAATCTCTTGGGTGTGGAACGAGCCAGAGGCCATAAAAGATAGAGAGGATGCCATTATCTGTGGATAATTAATTATTTCTTGTATCATTGTTATTTCAGACAAAAGTGGTGTCACCTCTCTCACACATGCACACATAAACACACCTAAAACAAATAGACCACTAAAACCTTAAAAAACGGCCAGTCAAACCTTATTCTATACCAATTTTAGCTATGAAATCTACACAGAAAATATGATTAAACTCACTGAGGCCCCTCAGATTTTCTAAAATGTTTAAAAAACAAAAATGGCAAATCCATAGGCCATAGGTTAGTTTTGAAAGTCAGAGCAGAGATATGTTGTTCTGTTCATGTGATGTCTCAGACCGTTTTCAGTTCCCTAATTGTAATTTATTGATTAGAGTCTGAAGAAGGCCACAGTTTTTCTCTTAAAATAAACCTCATTCATGGCAAGAACAACAATATCATACTCTTCTTTCAACACAGCATAGATAATTCGCAATTAAGATACTCAGCTTTGATAAGTGTATCTGTTTGCTGTGTTATCAGGGATTGATTGCAAACATATGACCTGACCTTTGGCCAGATGCCTCAGTGTTGCTTCCGGTCCCTTTTCAAGACTCAATACACAACAGCAGCACAGCAGACTCGTTCCTACTGATGTAATCAACCTTCCTCTCACGCACATTCACTCGCTCTCTGGTTTAATGCCTAAATGTTTTTACTATCAGTGGTAAATAATTGATCATTTTAGTATAAGTATTATACACATGTTTGTGTCTTATTTATTCATTCATCTTTGTGAAACTATCCTTCTTCCAACCCTTTTATTATTTATCCAGATGTTTGATAGAACAGGAGAATTCTTCATTGTTCTTTGTATCCCTTGAAAACAGCTTTCACATCACTCATATCTGTTGAATGTAGCTCCTCCTGAAACACCAAGGGTGCCTTATAATGTCATATACACAGAGGGTCAGTGTCACACAGTGTCATGTACTTTATTTACATTTTCCCACTATAAATGTGGAGAAAGCTGCTGTGTACATATTACTCTTATTTTAGTTCTCTTACATTGGTTCCCAATTACTTTTAGAAGTATTTTTAAAATGTTATTGTTGTAAATCCATTCAGTCTCACTCCATCTTGCATTAGGCACATCCTGACTCCGTATGTACATCAAAACTTGTGGGGCGTCCTTGCAGTCAGGGCCCCAAAGCTTTGAAAAAGCTTGCTGGAGTATCTCAGGTTAACTAGCTCCATTTCTACTGTTAAATTTCCCTTGAACATATACTATACATATAGTATATACTTATACTTATGTACTATATATATTAACCTTGTACATTTGTAAAGAAAGGTGATACATGAAGATTATTCTCATTATTAATATATTACTGTATGTAATTGATATTCATCCTCAATTAGCTGTTTTCATTGTTTGTATTTGCTCCTTTATAATGTACTTTGTATTTCATGCTTTATCTGTCACTGAAGGAAAGGGCATTTTAAAAAAGTCCCACAGGTCATGACATACTTCCTAGTACTTTATCTGTGGAAGATAATCTGTGATAATCTGAGTCCACTGAAGAAGCACAACAGCGGCTCCTGACTCCTGGTTGAAGCTGGACATTGACAGCTTTCTAGTTATTGGAGACGTCTATCTTCAGGACAGTGAAGAAGTCATCAGATAGGGAGAGCTGATATGATGTCTGTGTGCTGGAGGCGGATTGCATAATCTCAGCCTGAAGGGACAAACGATCTATGAAGACATCAGTCGTGAAGTTAACTTATTTCTTTTTTTAGTACCAACTGAAACTCCAAACTGGTAACCATCTCAGGGGAGGAGGGCAGTCAGATAAACACTGACACCCACTGGCTGCTCAGTATTAATTCAATATTTCTGCTTCAATCAAATCTATGCTGAAATTTACTTGAGTACCTACATTGTATGCTACTGTTCTACTTTATGTTTATATACAGAGCAGTATATAAAGATCAACTACAATATAACACTGATGGGAGCCATTCTGATGCATAATAAGTTATTTAACTTTCGGTAGCCTACTTTAAGTCCATTTTACTGATGATACAATTCTGAACCTAAATCATGTCATCATTGAATGCAGGACATTTATTTGTAATGGAGTCTCTTATGTTATTGAGTTATTACATTAACAGATCAATCTGAGGATGTAATCAGTCTTGTGCTGTGTCAATATTTTGTAAAATAAATGGGAAAAACTAAATATTGCGGCAAGTTTTTCTCTTCCTCACTGTCTAATATATGTGTGCATGTTGATTATCAAATTACCTAAATTGTATGTGTCCGCACAGTTGGCAAATAGAGTTGTCTTTTCTTTCAGAATCTTTCAGAATCTGATTATTATTATATTACTATATTATTATAACTTTAGTGTCAGACTTATTTGATAGAATATGTGGGTTGTTTATCTCCTTGCATGCCTGTTTTGTTCACATTTATTTGAGGATTTGTAAGAATTAAGGTATGAAGGTGAGGAGAGTTTGGATTCAAATAAACATAAATCTGCTTTAGGACAAAAAGTTTGACTTTACCACAATGTAATAATACGGATTGATCAAAACAGGACAGTAAGTGCTCCTGATGAAAGTGATGACACACACACACACACACACACACACACAGTGGACTTTGTCTAAAACCTGACACATTAACCTTATATCCTTGCTTTACTCTAAAACTGATCACTGATCTAAACTAATTTCTCTCGTGTAAAAGAATCCCACATTCATACTGAAATGTACCAAACTTTTTGGGTCCCCTGGGATGCTGTAACTTGAGCTCGAGGGCCGGTTTCACTGACAGACTGCCCATTTCCTCCAGCCAACCAAGACTCACCGACAAAGCACTGACTGTTTATCCTTAAAAAAGAAATTAGGTGAAAGGTGTCCAACATGAAGACGTCTCTCTGTACCACCTCTCGGTAAATATACATTTCTGCTAAATTACATATTTTTGCGCTGATTGTATTCATTTTTCTATCAAACAACTTCACTGTTTGTTGTCTAGTCAGTTCATGCAGCCTGCTTGAAACCTAGACAGCGAGTCTCACTCCTCCATTGATCATTTGAAACAATCAGGTAATCCCATTTCACTGATTAATCGATCACATGGCCGCGCGCAGACGCAGATCCCGCCCCGGCTGTATTAAAACCTGGCTACATCTGTCAATAAGCAGAAGTTCCTGACAAATCTGTGCTCCGCAGGTTAATGATTTGCTGGTTATCTCGTACTTAGTACTTGAGCGTGGAGTTTGGAGTCTGCCCTCCCCTCCGATAAAACATAATAGGAGAAGCTTGGACTTGCTTTGCCTTTCTTTTTTGGCCCTTTAGTGACTCCTCAGCCACTGACTCTTTTTCCTGTGTCGGTTTTTGATTCTTCTGGCTGCAGAGAGAGGACACACAATGTTAACCCTCGTTGTGTTCTTGCTCTGTACAGCCTCCTGTGTCTCAGCTTCAGCCAAAGGTGAGTGGATGGGTTGTTGTGACTTTATTTCTGTGTGTAGATACAGTTTGTGGCAGTGGGATTTTTGGGGACAACAGAATATTTAATGCAAGATGAATGCATTTATTTGGGACAAGAAGATCTCAACTACTAGAAATGTATCATGTTTATGATGTTTATGTGTAGGTCTAAATGGCATTTCGGTGTGCCCTGGAGGCTTCTTCATAGAGGAAAAGTTGGGAAATTGTCGATGAGCTTCATTTTAGTGTTTAAAATCCTTAAATGAATGAATCCTGGCTGGATTCAGTGAGTAGTTTTTTCATTGCCAATGTAGTAGCTTCACATAATTCTGTTTGGTGGCATCACTGATTCATAAGAATATAGTGAAGAAAAATAAAACCCATATATTATAAATTTTAGTGTTTTGCTTCTGGTGTTCCCTAAGAATCTCTCAGTGTAGACCCAGAATTTGTATTTGTTGAATTCAGCTCCACGTTCTCCTCAATGACTGGTGATGAAATCAAATACTGACACGTCAGTCTGTCCTCCCTTGTGGCCTAATGTCATATCTAACAAAAAAGCTTGTCATTAATAGAGCAGAGGAGAGATTTTTATCTCCGAAACACGCCTTGTTAAATGGCCGCTGATTGAGTCACCTTAACGCTATCCACAGACAGTATTTCTGTAAAATAGACACAAAATAATGAAAGAAGAGAAAGAGAAAGAGCAGTATATTCAATGGAAGTTCTTTAAAAAAAACAACTTTCATGTCAATACCTGTCACTGCATTTGGGAAGCTAAAACACAGGTTAAAGGTACCTGGAATTACATATTTTAATGCAAAGCTGAAGAAAGCCTTACACCGCAAGACTTAATTTGTCAGTTTGTCACAAACACATTATATTTATATCACCTATTAGCATGAATGTGAATGCATCTTGTCATGTCATGAGCCACAGCTTTGTGAATTATTTTGGTAAAAAAGCACAATGCCTTTTAACAGAGGCTTTTACTCACCCATTTCGGCATTCTTCATAACTAAAAATGATCTGAATTACTGACATAGAGTCATCTATTTTGAGCCCATTCATCGGAGTGGAGCCTTGTCATCTTGTCA